AATAGCTAACTAACCACGAAGATAGCTCTAGAATTTGCAGCCATAAAGATCTAAGACGCCAAGGAGGTCTGGAAATCAAACTTTTTTCTGTCTAATTTCCTCTATATATATATATATATATATATATATATATATATATGGTGTGGTTTGTATAGAGCCTAGGCTCTAACCAATCAAATTAGATCGTACCTTCAAATAGCATCGAGAAATGTGGTTTTCATACTGAAAATCTTTATGATAGCCTTAAAATACATTTTCATCTTTATTTGTAATTTTTAAAGTTTCAAAAATAGTATAAATCAACATATCTATAAAAACTTGAAAGTCTTGAAAATTAACGATCCAAAAATATGTTACAAAATACACTATTTTTAAAACTTGAAATCTATTTTTTCTCATGTTTATGCATCTTAATGTCGAGATGATCAATTTGATGATATTTGTGCATCAAAACAACCTCTTTTAGTGAAATTTTTGAGGTACGCCCAAATTTGATTGTTTAGAGCCTCGGCTCTATATAAACTTTTCTCATATATAAAAGCTCTATTGACATTTAATTCATGGAGTCAAATCGACAAGTTTAAAAGAAAAATTGTGTAGTCGTGGTTGTTGGGTTTATGTGACCTTTAAAGTTCTTATGAGAGTTTGTATGAGCATTTTATATAGTAAAACATAAACTCAGTGGGAGTGAGGTCCTCTTGTGGACCATACTAAGTAGCGATTTACCGATACTCGGACTAAGCTCAACATGCTAGGCCAACCGAGTTTGAAAAAACCCGAGATACCTGAGCATTGTGATCTACCGAGAAGGGTTTAGTAGATTAGCCCTTGACGAGATTGGAGTATGCCCAGATGAGAGCTGAGGGAGTGTGGCCTTTGCGAGTGATGGATCACCTTTAAAGACAGTTAAAAACATCATCGCTATATCATTACACAGCATGTACATAAATAATCGTATTAAGATTTATCAATGAGGGTGAAGCGTGTACATATACGAAAGACGATAGATTACCCCCATGCACCATAGAGTCATGGTTGCATCATGTCTTAGAGGACCATGATTTTTTTGTCTCTAGGGGAGAACCTGAAATCCATAAACTGCCATTGTGTCCCCTAGTCTATTGGCTGATTTTGGTGATCCAATAATGAGCCGGACTGCAGGTTATGAGAAATACTAAGGCAGTTTGAGAAAGCTAGGTGAATCGTGTTTCAGTTGAAGGCGGAGTACTCCTATATATTGATAAATTTATAGATCTAACGGATCTGATTCCCATCAAAATTAATTAGTTTTAATTAATTTCATGATATATGATTTTTAGAATGTTTATTTTAATTTTTGTGAATCTTCTTAAAATATTTTTTTTTTGTCATTTGGATTTATAAATTAAGATAAATTAATTTTTCAATGTTTTAAATAAAATATAAAAAATTGAAAATTCTAAATACAAAATAAAATATTTTCTAAAATTATATAGAACCCTCTATAAATATGGGGGTTCAATTTAGAACATGTGGAATTGGCATGTGGCCACCAATTAAATATTTGAAATATTTAGTAAATCTTGAAATCAACTTTTCTTGATCCAAAAAATAAAAATTGGATATAGTAAAATAAAAAGTAAGATATATATTTTATTTAAAAAGATGCTATCCCATCTCATAAAATCACTACACCTAATCTCTCTTTTCTCTTTAAGGGTTTATCTCTCTCTGAAGGAAGATACCCTTAGTAGTAAATCTCTCCTTATCTCTTATCTCTCCAAAGATCTTTTGATCTATCTCTTATCTCTCCAAAGAATCAAATGATCTTTTGATCTATCTCTTATCTCCCCAAAGAGTCAAAAGGGCTTTGATCTATCTCTTATCTCTCCAAAGATCTTTTTATCTATCTCTTATCTCTCAAAAAGGCCAAATGATCTTTTGATCCATCTCTTATCTCTCCAAAGAAAGAATGGCGCTTGAGCAATACTACATTGAGATCCATAAGCCCTTGAGAAGGTTTGTCAGGAGGAAAGATCCATATATGCCATTCAGAAGGTTTTACCGTACGTAGGAGAAAAGATCCATATGCAATTGAGAAGGTTTTGCTATATGTAAGAGAATCAAGTGAATGATCATAGATCATAATCACCATTAGAAAGAGGAGACTCGGTGTAGGAAGTACTAAGTCTGGTTGAGATAATTTTCGGCAATTTACTTTTTTAAATATTTATTTGTGATTTGATCTTCTCTTCTCATCAATGAGTTAAGGTTTTGATTTAAATAATTGTATTCAATAGTAGTAGTAAGTGAGAACCGTGTTTCTTTACTTTTATTTATTTGATTCAAGAGTTATTATTTTTATTTATTTGTTTCAAGAGTTGTTTGTTTATAATTTGACATTGTGAGCGGTTTTCTCAGTGTAAAAATAAGAACAATAAAAAAAAATTTAATTTATATACACAGTATTTGATCACATAGTCCAACTTTCAATAGTAGCATAAGCTCCAACGACTTGACTTGCACAAGAAAATACACAAAAATAGAACACAAATTTGCTTCAACGGTAGCATAGGCTCCAACCACTTGACTTGCACAAGAAAATACAGAACACAAATTTGCTTTTGCTACGTCTCTTAATATTCTTAAACTACTACTTATGCGTTGACTCTTCTCAATCACCCCCAATTCCTATAAAATGCCAATATCTAAAAGTAACAGGAAAACAACTCTCTCTCTCAATAGACTAAGCAAAACTATAAACTATTCTATCTGCAAATCACACTAAGCAAAACTATTCTATCCACAACTCACTCAAAGCGTAGTGTGGATAGATATGGATACGTATTGTGTATTAATATGTATTTTCTATCTTTGATAAGATTAGATGTCTTTGTATAGATAGGTATTTAGGTATTTCTTCATTATGATAAGATGTAGATGTTATATATCCATAACTATATAGAACTCTTTGTGTATTGATTTTATCTAGAGATATACACCTAATCTAGTAAGAAGATAAATATCCTTACATTTGATTTTATCTAGAGATATACATCCATACAACCTAATATAAACAGGAGATACATATCCTTACGTGATGCGTATCCATATCTATCCACACGATAACACTTCACAAATGTATATTAGGGTTTCATTTCAGTTTTGAGTTAAGTTTTTAAGGAACCCTAGTTTGGGAAGAGCATAAAATGAAGGGTGTGGTGTGTATAGAGCCGAGGCTCTAAACAATCCAATTAGAGCACACCTTCAAATAGTGTCTAGAAATATGGTTTTCATACTGAAAATTTTTGTGATAGCCTTAAAATATATTTTCATCTTTAATTATAAAACTTAAAGCTTAAAAAATAATGTATATCAAGCATATCTATGAAAACTTGAAAATCTTAAAAATTAATGGTCCAAAAATGTGTTACAAAATGCACTATTTCCTAAACTTGAAATCCATTTTGTTCTCCTGTCCATGCATGTTGATGTCAAGATGATCAAGTTGATGATATTTGGGCATCAAAGCAACCTCTTCTAATGAAATTTTTGAGGTAGGCTCTAATTTAGTTGTTTAGATCCTAGGCTCAATATAAATTTTAAGTTCCTTAAAATGAATTACTTCAAATGTATATTAGGGTTTTCTTTTCAGTTTTGAGTTAATGTATATTAGGGTTTCTTTTCAGTTTTGAGTTAATGTATATTAGGGTTTCTTTTCAGTTTTGAGTTGGGTTTTTAAGGACCCCTAGTTTGGGAAGAGCATAAAATGAATTACTTCATAGTTGAGTAGTTACCATTAGGGTTTCAAAAACCGGATCGGTCATCTTTTATATTGCAAACGGAAATATATTATTTTTAAATTGATTTTAGGAATCCTAAACCCTGTCCAAACCTTTTTAAAACAAACAAAATTTAATATTTTCAAACTTCATATTTTTGGTCCTTTATAAATTGGCCAATCCAACTTGAACCGGTGGGTGACCGGGATTGCTTCCGTGATCGACATCACAATGTTTGCTAGTGAAGATGTCCCTTCTAAGGAAACTTTTACAATATGAAAGAGATAGCTACATGGAATCTTCTCTTTTCAATTGCACTATTGATGCTGCACAAACTGAGTTGGGGGGCTTTGTAGTACTTTATTGCTTTTGAGCCGGGACACTTTGCATTACTTTGATATCTTGACATGTGTTAAGACTTGAAGACACATATATTATAAAAACTAATTACATATAATAAAAAACCACAATTGGGGTACCAATAATAGTCATTTCGAGTTACCGCCACCCCATCCTAAAGCTACCCATTTTGTGTTAAAGGGGAATTATAACATATATTCTAAGCGTGTAATATTTTATGTTGCGGTTGGCATAAGGTGTGCACCTAGAACAATCAAAGTTAGGCACACCGCCAAACTTTAAGGAACGATGAAGTTTTTTGGTGTAAAAAATTTTTATGTTGTCCTCGCAATATATTTCCAGCCCTAATTATGAATTTTAAAGCTAAAAACAATTATACAAATCAAATAGATCTCTAGTCTCTTGAAAATGTTGAAAATGGACAGTTCAGATATTATATTATAAGGCATTGTTTTTAGCATTGCACTCTCCTTAGAGAGAGAAGAGCGATGAAAGTGGCTAGAGAATGAATCTTGGGCTCCTTAGGTCAAGGCAAATATATTTGCATCATAGTTACCCTCAAAAAGTATTCAAACCAACCTTGTTCTTTTCCGAGGAACTGGCTGAGGTTCAATTTTTTTGTGACTCGTGTATGGTACATGAGTGGGATTGAATTCCCATTTTCAGATTTGATATACTCAAAAACTGCCTTTTGGCAAAACCACAGTTCTTAAGTAAGGTAAAATAGAACCCAAAATGCAAAGGAAAGCATGTGATACTAATTGAGTGTAGCGCATGGCTTTCGCATTGGTCAAAACAGATCCATTAGTATTTAGTCCCCAGATGCTAACAAAAGGGTTTAAGAACTTCATCAGAATGCAGCAAGGAGATGCGAGCATGTGTGAATAGCGATGGGAGAGACTCAATTTTTATTTCCTGATAAGGCAGAATACCAATATTTTCTATGCAGATACATGTACAACTACCATCAATATTTTTTCTCTTATACTGTCACTAAATTATTAGTTTATCTTGAAGTACCTTGAAACTGATTCCTCAGCCTTTCATATTTCTGGAGTTCAGCCATGGATAGAGATGGGGATAGCTCTCCTAGTACCTGTGGAGCATTCACAAATACTTTCATGCATATTAATTCTAAAGAAAAACCCCCAAAAAAAAAAATTTCATTAAAAAATACTTGCAAGGGTACAACCCTATTTAGTGATGTAGCCAAACTCTAAATCTGCTATAGAAGAAGGCCAAATGACTGAAAACCCCACATCATTGATTCAGATGACAACCCTAAACCCCACCCCCTTGCAGAAACATTGTACCCTTTTGCGACTATTTCAACTCATTATCATGTGCCTTTTGATAAGTACTTTAAAATTAAATCAAAATAAATAGGTAAATGTTAAATAGTTCATCTCCTAGGGGTATTTTGATGAATTTCCCATAAATAAATAAGTACAACGAAGAGACAGTTTCCTCTTCATTAACCTCAGTAAACAATATAACATGAGATGCAAACATGCACATGCAGGATCAACAATTTGTGCCATGTGTTTGTGTGAATCAATTTGTAGACGTAGTCACAGTTGCAAGGGCATACCTTTATAAAATCATCGAGTTCCACAATAACCGAATTTGCAACGCCGACCATACTGGCAGACTCTGAATGTTGAACTGATGCCTGCTCAGAAAAAAATCACCATGGTATATACCATTACAACTAGAATCAAAAGTCGAGTGAATAATGTTGCTGTGGCTGGTAAAGAGGTGGGTATATCCAAGAAAACAAAATAGAGGACAGTAAAAAGAAGCCTCTTGTATCATTAGAATTTTAAGTCATATGCATCATGGGGTGCCCATGCTTACATGCATATGTACATTCATGCACTACATAGGAATGTTTGTGTATAATGTCTGTGCATGTGTAGTGTGTATGCATGTATATATGTATATAAAATATATGTTTATGAACGAGCAAACATTTGCTCCACCCCCGTGTAGCCAACTTGTACCCCAAGTAAACAACACAATGTATGCATGGAGTTTGGGTTCTTTGTATTTTCCTCGCTATTACAGTTCTCATCCAAAATTTTATAGACACACATTGATGTGGAGTTTTGTTACAAATTGAATTAATGTGCAGGATTTAACTGGTGGAAATCCAACTTTTCTTTCCTGGGCTACATAGCAGCCAGTGTAGATTGATCGCATAATTTTACTGCTAATCTTATCTAGGCTCAAAATAGCGTAATCCTAGATCCTTCAAGATTGATTTAACTGAGAAACTATTGATGTTCATAGAGAAAAAGCCATTACCAACAAAAACAAAAACAAAAGATTGGTTCATTTAACTAGTACTAACAATCACATAAACAGTAATAACAATTGTCACCTGGCGCTTGGCAGCATGAAACCAAGCATCTGCACATAATGCATACATATCCGCACCGGTAAAGTTGGCAGGGCATTTCTTAGCAATTGTCAATAGAGACACATTCTCATGAAATTTAAATTTCCGAGTAAGTGCACCAAGAACCCTAAAAGGAATAGGGATATCAGAAAGAAAATCATATATATATATGTATATAGGTAAAAAATGAAATAAGAGGTCATAGAAAACTAACCTCTCCCTGTAAGAGGATTCAGAGTTTACTCCGACATATAGCAACTTATCAAACCGACCGGGGCGAAGAAGTGCCGGGTCAATAAGATCAGGCCTGTTACTTGCCCCTATAATAAACAAATCCTGGAAAATACAAAAAGTGGCAATCAGCATGGTTCCCAATCAGACCAGTCTCTGAATCTTTGAGGGCCGGAAATATTTATGATGTATACAACAAAAAGGATTGACCCACAAAAGTTACCTGTGTAGCTTCATTTAAACCATCAATTTCTGCGAGCATCTATCATCAAAGACAACTAGTTACAACCCAATTATCGTTAACAGCAATCTTGAGAATGATAAACAGATTAAGCCATACATACATGCATTGATCTAACCACAAAGAGGAAACCTAATGAATATCTCAGGAAATATGTGAGAAAGAGAGAGAATGGAAACATAGGCAACCATGCTCCCCAGCAGGTAAAACGTCGTCTCACCTGAGAAACCACTCTGTCCATGACACCACCAGAGTCCCCAGAAGCCCCCCGAGCAGGAGCAAGAGCATCAAGCTCATCAAAGAAAATTACACATGGCCGTGCCGACCTAGCCTATGAAGACACCAATAAGAAAAGAGTTCTCAATCTCAAAACTTAAAAACAAGAAATGCTCATAATCCATGATTTCTCAAAAACAAAAAAACTAATAAAATAAAGACAAAATCACGTTGATGAAGCAAGTCATTCTACCTTTTGAAAAATGTCTCGAACATTTTTCTCCGATTCTCCTATGTACATGTTGATCAGTTCCGGACCCTTCACACTCAAAAAATTCAAAGAACATTCGGTCGCTACAGCCTTGGCCAGCAATGTCTGGAAATTTGCATGAAACAAGTCAGATAACTAATTCAACAGTCGCCAAATTCTTTCTAGTATTTACAGTGTTCCTTGTTTTCAACTCACCTTACCAGTACCAGGAGGACCATAGAGAAGTACACCAGACCTCTTGCGCAACCCAGACGAGAATAAATCTTTGTGCATGAGAGGTAACTGCATAGCTCATATAGATACAAAGCATAAGAAAAAAGAAGATAATGGTATTGAGAACAAGTTAACGAAGAAATTTATGGATATATAATAGATATTAAAGCAATTGGCTCAAGCACCATATTCCAGAGGGTGGTAAAAAGAAATTTGGATACTTAAAATTACAGCAAAAGAGAAAAACTTTCTTTGTTAAAAAATATTAACGTACAATTTGGCCAGACAGTTCTAGTTGATTGAACAGAAAGGTTGAAACAGGTTAGACCATCAACCCATATCTTGGACAGTCACTGCCACCTCCTCCCTTCTCCATGTTCAAAATTATCACGGTGCCCCACTCTACTCCTACTTAATATTCTTCGAACATCCCATCAATCTATATTCGTGGAAAGTAGCCACCATCCCCACACTTCTCCATGAATGAAAGCATCAAAGTGCTCCAACACTCTCTAACCCCACCTAACATTCTCTGAACATCAGATTGGCAAAAAAACACTTCCCCTGCCCCCATCTCTCTCCCTCCATAAATGAAAACATCACAGTGCCCCAAAACACTCACCGAATACTCTCTATTCCCTCCTGTCAGTTTTCATGTCTCACTGCATAACCAATCTTAGGCTTTCAATTCTATAGCAAAAAATCCAACATCCCTTTTAGGCACCAAACCCCAGAATCCCCAATTTCAATACACAAGCCAATTTCATGTCTCACTCCATAACCAATTTTACACTTTCAATTTTATTGCACAAAAAAAAAAAAACACCACCTGATTGGTCACCCAAACTCCAGAATCCCCAACTCTCAAACCATTGAAGTACCCGTATCTGCGCTTCTCCCTGTACTTCTAAGGACTGACTACATCCCCAAATGGTGCCAATATAACCAATCAATTACAATCAAATGCTATTTCAAAAGGAAGCCTAAATATGTTTTGAATTAACAACCGATTTCAAGGGGAAAATAGACCAAATAGAAGATATTTACCTGTACAGTGTCCAGGATTGACTTTTTCACGTCCTCCAGCCCACCAACATCTTCCCATTTTACATTGGGAACCTTCAAAAGTTAAATTTCTTATATCAAAGCCTATTCCACATGCAGCAAAGATCTGAATAGGACAGTAACCTCTTGAGAATCCAAGCTTATGAAACTTCAAATACCATGATACAGTGAGCAGTCACAGAACCCTACTAGCAATATGGGAAGTACACCATAATCCAGTGGAGTATAAAAAACCATAATGTATTGAAGTCTTCATTATACGACAAAATGGAAGGCGATGGCGAGCGTGTTCAACCCCCCACTGGGATCAAGTGCTGTACCAAAGGTTCCACTCTCTCCATCTCCATCCATGCCATTGGATAGTGATGACCCCAAGGGACTACAAATAGTTCACTGTGTTATAAACCACTACTCTGCAGAAATATGCGTATATATATATATCCAGGAAAACATTTCTATGTGCTACTAGGTACAGGAAAATTTTATCTGCCATCCCTCTCCCATTCGTCTGATCTTAACAGATGACTGCGATAGCTACCATAATAATTTCACAAGTTGGCTTCTAACCATCTAATCTTGATCAGAGGCTTGGACTATTTGATTGTTTTTTCCTACAAAACATCTGGACAACAAATTTGAAGTGTGCCCCACCTAAAAAGACTAGTAAAAAAATATTTCATACAAAATAAAATGATCAAAATACCCATGCAAGTTGCAAGAGTATTTTGGTCATTCTATTATGTTTGAAATTATTTTTTTTTATTTTTATTTTTATTTTTTTTAGCTGGACCAATATGACAGGAGGGCACTCCTCAAATTTCATGTCAGATGTTTCGGAAAATGAAAATAAAAATAATAAGTGTTTAGTTGTACATTGTGGTTGAAGCCATCCCAGCCATCCACTCAGATCGGATGGCTGGTAGCAGGGTGGCATATATAATTTTCCCATACATAATGGCATATAGAAAGGTTTTCCATGCATCAAAATGCCAAAGGTTTCTATTCTCTTTAAGAATGTCTCAAATAGCATACTTCCATAGTTGAATAATATTCAACTATTCAACTATTAAAAGAGTCATGAGGAAAATCACTTATTTCTAACAACCCAAAAAATATATTGAATAAATTATACTCCGCTTCTCACTTTTGGAGTACCCAATTCAGATGCACTCCTCTTCTTGCATCTATCCAAAGCTTTCAACAGGTCTTCTTTACCCAAACACTGATCAGCATCCTTGCCAGAACTACTATCCAGTTCATACTTAAATAGTACAGAGGGGCCATCATCAACTACTTCTGTATCGACTCTGTCCATCTCCTTATGAAGCCTAGGAATCAAATTCGCTCCAGCATCAGCAACCAGAGCTCTAACATCCCTAGGCAGAAAACCAGATGTTTGTCCGACAACATCCTTTACAACCTCATCAATATCATTCTGCAAACAAATATATATCATGAATACTGTATCACTAATTAAGATGAAGAAAGATGAGCATTTTTATCTATATCCAAAAAAAAAAAAAAACAATTGAGCTTTTTTTGGGACATACTGAAACACATGAACGTGTGATGTATGTGTTTTTGTGTGTATTGGGTAGTTTAAATTTATGGTCATCATGGGCTTTGAACACAGTGGGTATGTGAGGTAGAAACACCACTCTACAAGCAGTCCCACAGATTTGCAATAAAAAGGTTAAATAGGAAAAGACAAAATCTAAAAGCAAGAATCAATGACTTGTACATGAGAAGCATCTTTGACAACACTTTGTAGCGACTGAGAGATCATTTTAACTCTTTGTGCCTCACTTAAACTTCCCACAGCTATTTCATGGCTGAAGCAACGCCTAATCGATTGAGCCAGACCTTCGGTAGTGTCAGCAATCGCAACCAGTAGTACACTGTTCTGGCTAATCCTTTCAGCTTCCGCAAAACCCTAAAAAGGAAGGTAGTACAAGTAAGAATGGTTAAGCAAAATGGTAAATCTATAAATGAGTAAGACATATAAAAAGCAATAGAAATGTTATTTTAATAATTATAAGATTATGATGGGTGGCAGGTGCCACAACATGTCATCTACACTTCCATTCTCATCAGGTGTCAAGAAAACTTTCAGAAAAAAAAGAATTTATACGATTACAATTGTTTCTTACATAACCAACATCTGATTCATCTCCAGATGAATAATCTTCGACTCTGAGGTTAAACTCAGTAAATTCTCGTATAACAGATGCAACATCAGAGATTACCCCAACTTTATCAGATGACCCACCTCCATCCGAGGATAGAGTACCAAATGCATCAAAACGGCGCAAAAGAAGAATTGAGGGCGAGTATCTGTTCAAATAATGAAGGATAAGAAGGAGATAACAATGAAATAAGAAGCGGTGATAATATCAGCACAAATCCAACAGTGGCCAACACAAAGCATCTCATTCCAGTGGAACACAGTTACGAAATGTGGCGTCGTGCCACATTACGAAGTCACATCAAGGAATCAAGGTCCTTGGACGCATTACACTGTCTCGTCTAGGCAGGAAGTCATGATCTGCTGCCTAGGTAGCCTCATCAAGGTGAACCTATGCAGCTGCATGGTTAGGGACCTGATCTTGGGGGTAAATATACACCAGCAGCAGGGTTAAAATGGTCTTTACACTGAAGGAAAGGGGCAGGGGGGAAAGCTTGGAGGGATATATAAACACCTTAAAACCCTATCAAAATCCCCCAAAAAAGAATTTTCAATTTTTTAAGGAAAAACTTGAACGTTTTAACAGCAATTTCTCAAGTTGATTTCGCGCTCACATTGGAAGGATTTTCTTTCTTTTTCTTTTTTTTTCTTTTTTTTTCTTTTTTTTCTTTTTTTTTTTTTTTGGGAAGAAATTTTACATATAAATTTTTTTTGAAGACATCACATTAGAAGGAGTTTCAGGTGCACAATACCGGCCAAGCAGAGCACCACTTGGATGTTGCCACATAAGGTGTTATGTGGCTGCAACCTGCAATAAATAACTACAAAGGGCCCAGTAGTCTTTTTGTATTTTATGCCATAGTGTTTTTCTCTTCAACTTTTGGATCTCTGTTATACTTGTCAAGTAGTAAGTATTTGGCTACATGCTGCAATTGCTACTTTCCAATTTATTTAGGACGTATCATGCTATGCTTTCTTAGAGTATTGGCATATTTTTTTATTTTGAGTCAAATGAATGCATTACTTTCATTTATTTTACTTACTAATTATACTAGAGAATTTTTTTTTTTTTTATTTAAATGAATGGATTACTTTTATTTATTTTACTCACTAATTATACTAGAGAATAGAGACAAGAAAACCCGCCTGACAAATAATAAATTAAAAGGCCTACTATTACAGAAATCACATATTCATGTTATTTTTGTATTCTTATAAATCGTATTATTTTTTGGAAACTTTTATACTTGTTTCCTGCATAAGAATTGATGTGCCCACATTAGAGACATGCATAATGCATCGCGCAACAGACCCACCCAGCCCTTTGCACAGCATACTGCATTTGACATCTTTGGTGGAACATTTAGCACAAGGGAATGACTGAAAGATTTTAAACCTTAAGCAAAGCCAATAGAAAACTGTACACCCTGTAAGCGGTATGTTGATCTATTTTATACACCAATTTGCTCGGCGTAATAATCTTTATCTTTTGTGCCAATCTAGGGTGTCTATACTTTGTACTTATCCCAATGGGAAGGTTAATACAATGCAATTACTCCACATGAGGTTAAGCTCTTTTGGATTGACATTGCTGTCAACCTGTGATTCAGCTAAATTAGCAACGAATAGAACACGGACAATGGTGAAATTTCAAGTTGAATATGGTTTTCCAAGGCACTAATGCTGACAAATAAATGACTATAATGTGCGTATCACACTTGAGAAGCTAATCGCCATTATTGTTATTTAGCAATGGCACTTAATTAACAACTTTCCATGACACTAAAGCAATAACTAGAAGACAAGTCAAGAGTACCTTTGAGCTGCTCTGAAGGCATGAGCAAGTGCAACAGATGTCTTTCTTTCTGTAGATCCAACAAAATCATGGCAACTATATTCTACAACATGAAGGCCCAAGCAGCGAGCAACATATCTAACTATTGTCCGCTTTCCACAACCTATAAAAACATTCTTCATTCTCTTCAGTGCAACCCAAACACCAAGGAGAAAAGAGCAATATGTAACTATCTAAATTCTCATCCAGATACCACACGATTCGACTAATTGATTTATTCCTATAAGTGGGAAGACAAGAGCACATTCTAGCAAACAGATTCAGTTTCCAATACCAAGAAATAAACTACAAAAATTTTGCTTAACATGCTCCAAAAAGAAAATAATATACAAATAAATAATTCTATTAGTTCATCATATGTCACCCCATTTCTCATTTGAATGGGTAAGCCGGGTCTGACTACACCATCAATCTCTTCAAAGGACAAATGGGCAGTAGTTAACAAGAAGACCCATTCTATATGCAATGAGAATTAGTAATGCAAAAACAAAATGCAAACAATGTAAAAATATAGATCTACTAAAGCCTGTTTAAAATAGAAGAACCCAAACATTGCAAGCAAGTAATCTTATTGTAATTTACCTTGAGGACCATGTAATAGGATGGTTGTCTTGAACTTTGCTGTAAGGACAGATGGGCATAATGAGGGAGTCACGATAGAGGCCAAAACCTTCACAACGTCTCCATGCAAAGGCACGAACCCTTTCTTAACACCAAGCATAGAATCAGGGGGGATCGAGGAAGCCACACTCCCACCAAGCACAAGAGCTGTTTGATGGCAATTAACACGAAGAATTTCTTCATATAATGGCTCCATTGAGATAACCTAATAGCAAACTCTACACATTAGCTGTGATCAGTGTTTTTCAACTCGGGCTCAAGCATGGAACCAGGCAGGGCCTGGGTCCAGATCAGCGAGCCAGACTCGGCCAAATCAAAGCCAGACATGGTTCAAGTCCGACTTGGCCAAGTCTTAAAATAAAAGCTAACAAAGAAACCTTGGGCACCGGTGAGACTCAGCCGGTTCCCAAGGTTTTTCACTTGGATCCTGCGCCCCAGCGGGATCAGAGTGACTTACCTGAGTCTGAGCCAGACTGCTAGTTTTAAAGCAAATTCCTAATAGCAAATTTTGCTAGTTATGAGCATACATTTCGGGTGTAAGTCACTTATGATTTTAGAAGGAAACTCAAGAACATATCAGGACATGAGATGTCAATATACACCGACATCTCAGAGGTTTTTCACTTGGACTTATTGACTTACCTAAGACTGAGTTAGACCATAGTTACCTGGATCTCCTGCTTTGGTAGGCGATCACTTCTAGGATCTCGATATTGTCGCTCCCGGAACAGATCTCTCAAGGATCTCAAACCCCACTTATAGGGATCCCGATACCTGCTTTAGGGATCTCGATCCCAATCTTAAAGACCAAGACAGCAACCAAATCGATGATTTTCTTTTTTTATAACCAACTAGCAATACAACTATTGCTTGCTTGCTATCAACAATAAGATCCATGCTTTAAAGAGTATACATAATCCTAGATTATCATACACTTTAAGGTTGGTAACAAGATCCCAAAAAGGTCGGGATTCAGATCCCAAAAAGGTCGGGATTCAGATCCCCAAAAGGTTGGAATCTCGATCCCTAACATTTGGGAAATTCAATTCCTAACATGTGCATTGTACGGACAATGTTCCCAACCATATGGATTTTCTAGCATTTCACGATCCCTCTCCCCCGATTCCGATCCCAACAACTATGAGTTAGACTACTAGTTTTAAGCAAATCCCTAATAGCGAACTTTGCAAGCTACAGACATACATTTCTGGGGTAACTTCCAAGGTCACTTATGATTTTAGAAGGAAACTCAGGAACATATCAGGACGTGAGATGTCGATATGTATGTGTCACCGTTTTGGATGCAAGGATCCTCAAAGGAAACCATACAACCCATTATCATTTGGGACACAAATACACATGTCAATAAAAAAGCCAAATATAGCCCCTGACCTGGGGCATCTAGCCGAGGAGAAAGGACCTCTGCCCTGAATAAAAAAATCAAGAGTCCTCAGTAAAGAAGAACCCTGAACAAGGGATATTTTATGTAACTACAACTTTTGACAGAAACCATCAAATTTTGTGCAATGTGCATCGGAACAACTACAAAACATCAAATATGGCCATTAAAAATATGATAGGTCGCATGCAAAATGAAACAAACAAAGAAGGCTCCAAACAATAAAATTAAAACTAATCGACAAGACAAAACAAATAAAGGAGTTCCCAAACCTTGAAATAGATTCTCTCATCTTTAGATCTCCCATTAGTCTTCCTGGAACAAGCAATGCACAGCACCGAATTGCAATTCCAATTAATGGATACAGAGATAACATCGTCTTTCGCAAGAAATCTATCAACTTTAAAGTAACTCTGCAAAGCCTTGTCGATCAATTCTTGGCGAGTTTCAGCTTCAATTGAAGAGTTACACCTTAGAGAATTTAGAATTCCACATTCAGGAATCTTAACAAAGGAAACTCTCAAGTGTGAGGCAAATCTAGGGAGACATTGATAATCACCCATGTTTACTGGGTTCCTCCGATAAGCATCAAACATGTACGGACTGAGTTCAACGTAGACAGTGGACTGAGGAGACACTATGGAAGTGTCATCCTCTTCAAATAAAGACCCCAAAAGGTCTTGACCACCATGAATGAGAACATTTAGACATACTTTCTGCAAGCCAATGTTAAAAGCTAAGAGTGGGGTCAAGTATGCAGTTTGGTGGTCTATAAGGTGAAGATTTTTGGAAGGGAAAGGATGAGAAGGCAAGATGGCCATCACACATTGAGAAGGTAAGGATTTGGGTGAGTCGATGCATTCCTCTCGCTTAGAATTGGGAGGGTCTAGTACAACGACTCTAGCAATTCTCCCAATATTTGTCCAAACACTTTTGACAGCAACCTAGAATCAACCACAACAATATATAATGTCAGTTGATAGGTTCAAATGATCACCAATTTTCAAATACAGTATGATAAAGGAAAATGTTCAATGATCACTAATTATGTTTCAGAATGTTTTCTTTTCTTTCATTGCTTTCTTCTTCTTTCTTTTCTTACCCTGTTTTCTGTAATCTCATAAGAATGATGTCCAATTGATCAATAATTCATTATAACCCATTAAGATAATTATTATTTTTTATTGAGCGCGTGAACTGAGAGCAAGTAAACAATTGGTATCTATTGACCACTCACAGTTTTGAGCGAGAGAGAGAAAGGGAATGTATTTTTGATAGAGAAGATAGAAAGAGAGGAAGTATGCCTGTGGGAGAGAAGATAAAGTGTGTGTGCGTGAGAGAGAGAGAGAAAATGATATCCACTGACCAATGAACAATTGGTATCCATTGACCACTCACATTTTTGTAGAGAAAGAGAGAGAGAGAGAGAGTGCTTGAGGGAGACAATATAGAGGAAGTGCGTGCATGTGTGTGAAAGAGAGAGAGACAGAGAGAGAGAGAGTGTGTGTGTGCTTGAGGGAGACAATATACAAGAAGTGCGTGCATGTGTGTGTGAGAGAGAGAGAACCAGCGTATCGATCAAATACTGAGAAAGTACTCCAACTCAGAGAATACACAGGCACAATAAAGGGCGAAGCCCAATCAAACAAATGAAAACCAGCTGAAAAAACTGGAAAGGAAAACTAAACACATTTAAAGGAACTATGAGAAGCTCAATTTTGCTATCAAAAGCACAGAAAGACTGAAAACCCACATGCAAAACAGAGAAATTGTGAGATGGGTGCAATTACCAGTGAGCCGGATGTGAGAGACAACTTCTTCAAGACTGATGCAGAGACCCCCACCATTGAAGAATCATCAAAAACCCCATTGTTGGAGCCATGCCAATCTTCAGAGACCCGAAGGATTCCAGCACCAATATGCAGAGGCGAACAATTGTTGAAATTAGAGAAAGCATCAGGGGATTCGCCATTCTCTCTCTCTCTAGAAATCCCCAGAGAAACTAAGGAATCACGAATTTCCTTGGTGGTGGAAAGTAGCAGAGGCTTCCTTCTCTCTACCATCGTAGGTTGCGGGATGAGAGAGAAAATATATTTAATTTTCTATGATCATATATGGATTATTATATGATCATCAATAAAGAGTACAATCCTTCAAACAAGGGTTACAAGGAGGAGACCGAGAGTCGAAAATTACCACCATTCATACTCTCTCTCTCTCTCTCTCTCTCTGAAAACACCATTTATGGTTTCTCTGTTTCTCTCTCGTGGCTTCTCTGTAACACTCTCGTCTTTCACTCTCTAAAACTTGCCTCTCTCCAACAAACTGAAGAAATTATACTTGGTACTCACGCACCCGCGCAGAAAAGCTAAGAAGAATACCCTGAATTATTTAACTTATTACACAATTATCTTCATCCTTTTTAGAAATTTAAATTGGAAAGACCTCTAATTTATCGTATTATTTTGTGATATATTTTTTTTCAATTTTTTTTCCAAACCGCATAAAAAAAAACTTTAGAGATTTCACCATATCTCGTCATCTCTCATCTCTCTTTTATTGACTTTTGATTATAAAAATTAATCCCAAAAAATCTTTTTATATCATTTCAACTTAAAAACTTTTTTAATAGATAAAAAGGAAAAAAAATGATTAAAATTTTTTTTGAGGTAAAATGATATAAAAAGATTTATTGTAGTTATTTTTTATGGTAAGAAGTCGAGGAGACAAGAGACGAGAGATTTTCTCACGTAGTCTTAAAAGAAAATGAAAAGAGGGTCTATCATGAAATAATATGACCAAGTAGGGTTATATACAAAATTTTCCTTTAAACTAGGTACTATACAAAAATTAACATTAATCATAAGATCTACACTATCTAAGTAAAATAAGATAATGTATAAGATAAGATCATTTACTTTGGATAGGAGGAGATCACAACTATGACTGTTGGATGTGAAATCGAGTAGTAGGGGATGCATTATTGAGTAGGCACAATGTCATATCTAATGACTAAAAATGTTTGTGATTTTTTTGTACAAAAAATAAATAGTTTCATAGTATACAACCCAATAGAATAACCAGTGTAAATTACTTCAACATTATTTGCAAGGTTATAACCTCATACATATGGATTTCTTTTGAAAATTTGTCAAGCCTACTCATGCCATTCGTAGTTGTACCAGATGAGGGTACGGGTGATTCCTAAATGATAGTATGAACTATCAAGAGATCATTTACTTCAATTAATGTAAATTCATAAGATTGATTTTATGAAGTGCAGCACTGCTCAAAATATGTTTTTTAATTATTTTATGTTTTCAAGCATTTTTAAAATGGTTTTGTAGGTGTAGAGGTAAGGTACACCTTCAAATTTTATCATGG